GTCGGGAGGGTCTTGAGGGGCTGCTTCGCGATGCCTGTCGCTCGCAGCGGGCTCCCTTTAAACCTTCCTCCCGCAACCTAATTTTAGGTGCCACCTGCTGACCAGTGCTTGATTTCAAAGCTGAATTAATCTCCGAACTCAAAACGCGTCAGCCGAAATCAGCTTGTTTTACATGGGTCACGATGGTTTTCCTCTCAAACGTATATATTTTTTCTTCCTAATGCTTCTATATTATGGTATTTCTCTTCCTAAGGAGAGAGGTGGCTGACTGTCGCTTAGATCAGGTACAAAAGATCAGTCATCTTGCCTCTTAACTGCCTGTTTGCTTTGCTTTCTGCTTTCAGAAGAAATGCAGTTTGCTGTGACTGTTCTTGCTCTCCTTGGTGTTGGAGAGAGCTAATAGCTCAGTGCCGTGGTAAAACCGATCCCATTTTGGGAGTCTTGTCCCCTCTGTACACCTTGTGCCAAGGCCTTTGTGGGTAGGCTGGTTGCTTCTATCTAAAATAGCGAAAAGATTTTTTTTTTTTTAAAGTTTCTTCTACCTTTTCTGAAGTATTGGGAGGGAAAAAATACAGCAAATTGTATTTTCCTGTTCTTTGAAGATCAGTTGCGCACTCTTCCCTGCTGCCTCATTCAATTTGTGAAAATAGCCAGTGTTCTAGTAAATATTTTTCCTGAAATTCTATGGGGCAGATATGTCAGATGCTGGGTTTAATGAGTTTTCAGTGTCTGTCTAGTGCCAGTTTATGCAGTGTTTGATCGCAGTTCTCGCCAGTGGTCCTTAACAACTGCTACTGCCTTGAATTACTAAAATACAAAAAACTAGACCTAGTCTCTTACAGATTTTATTACTTGCATTTCTTTCATTTAGTTTATACGATGGATTAAGGTTCTTTGTAACTAGAGTCCTAAGCGTAGCCTAAAATGCACGTTTTGGTTTGGAAAGTGTGTATGAGCTGTTTCTTGGTAGGTATGTATTTTACTTCAACAAACAAAGGTTCTCAGTTTTGTTTGTTACCTCTTTGTTAACTTGTGAGCTGTTAAAAACTTGCGTATGACTTTGTTGGAACTTGGTAGGATCTCCTTAATTTTCTTTTGTTCTCACTCCTTTGCAGTGACCTTGGTTAAGATGCACAGCCCAAAGCCTAGAATGCAAGTGTTTTGGCCGGTAGCACTAAGCAGCAGAACAACAGGAAGGCTTTACTTACTGGGAGGATTGTTCATTAGGTGTTCAGAGAGAGAGTCCACAGACTTTGCATTGTTCTGTGTCCACATGTATACTGTGAAAGGCAGCTATGGTAGAAGTATGATGCTTAAACAACATCTCAGCAGCTTTTTGCTCATCGAATGCTATGAGACTGAAGATCATTTACTCTTTACTCTCTAGTATTTACCTTCTCACTTAAATTCCTGTGGGACTTAAGTTCTTGTCATGCTGTAGCTTTAGACTCAGTGTCAGGTTCCCTATTGCATTACTCCTGTTAACTTCAGAGATCAAGATAACACTTAACTTGTTCGGCTTTTCCCTCTCTGAGGTGAAGCCTTCTGTGTAAAGTTTTTTTAAGTCTGTGCGTTTTGATTTCGCTTCTTTCTTCATGCAGGCATTTTCTTACCTCCATTTATAGCTCATCAGTGGAAGCATGCCTGCGTTATTTCTTCACTTTTTCATAGTTTTAAGATTGGTCATTTCTGGGATCAATAATTAAATCTTTATATTCTGTGCTAGAGTCTTCTGTCAATGCCAGCTGTGTGGACTGGATTGCAGGGTCTTTGAGGCAGGTAGCATGATAGCTTTTACAGAATGACATAATAGTTGAGATTGGAAAGCACCTCTAGAGATCATCTTGTCTGACTGGAGCAGGGGCAACTAGAGCAAGTCGATCAGGACCTTGTCCAGTTCTAGGTTGTGAATACATCCGAGGACGGAGGCTCCACAGCCTCTCCAGGCAGCTTGTTCTAGAGTTTGATCACTCTTAAAATAAAAAAGTTTTTTTTTCTTATGTTGAAATACAGGAAACACAGTTTATAAATTTGTTCCTGCTGCCTCTTGTCCTTTCCCTGGGCACCATTGAGAAGAGTTTCACTCGGTCTTCCTCACTGTCTCCCATCTGGTATTTATACATGTTGGTAAGATCTTCCTGAGCCTCACTTCCCCAGGCTAAACAATTCCAGCACCCTCAGTCTCTCATTGTATGCAAGAATCTCATATCCCTTAATTTTCATAGTCCTTCTCTGTCTTCTACTTTGGAGCCCAGAACTGGACACAGCACTCCAGGTGTGGTTTCACCAGTGCTGAGTAGAGGGGAACAATCGCCTCCCTTGACCTGCTGGTAGCGTTCTTGTTAACAGGCTCCTTTGCTTATATTGGGGGGAAAAACCCCAAACAACAGAATTTCTATGCGTCATCTGCTTGAGCCAGTGCTTGACATTGACTCCCTCTTGTCCCCTGGTGGTGCTTTGAAAGTTGGAGCATGCAATTGTAATGTTTTGGCTCACAGGATGCTGAAGTGTGGTGGGGAAGGTAATTTCTGCGTGGGAAATGCAACAACACAAATGGACAATACATGAATCTGGAGGTGTGTTTCAGTGAATGTCAGAAGCCCTTCAGTCAGTCCAGCCTTTTCATTTTTAGGAAGGGAAAATGATTTAGTACATCAAATTGCTTGCTTGTCAGAGTTCCTTTTTCTGAGTGTGGTTTGTGAAAGCCATATTGCTGACTTAGAATTCCTGTTTCAGCAGATCTCTCGACTCCTTTCCTCATTTCCCCAAAACCACAAGTCAGGCATTTTGTTACCAGCTGTTTTGACTCTCCATACCTACCTCCCTGACATGTGACTTGTTAGATAAGTCACTTAAGAGTTTTATTTTTGGAAATTTCTGCCCAGAGTGTCAGGATACTCTTGTTTTGTTCACAAATAGAAGACTGACTCAGGTGTTTTTCCCCTCTCTTACCGTTGAGGATGCATGGGCTGTATTGTCACAGTTGATAAGTTATCTGAAACATCAGTTTTTATTGCAGTTAACTTATAACTAATGATGCAGGTCCTGTGCAGGTTTTTGCCATCTGTTAGGCAATCATCAGAAGGACACGATGAGATTCACATGCTCTCCTCTATCCCTCTGTCACTTTTGCCCCTCAGCCTATTCCTATTTCTGCAATCACATTCCATAAAATATTGGTGAATGTCTGATCACAGAAGCTGCTGTGGCTTTACTGTATTGGTTTGTGTTAAACCATGCAGATTTTGTCATTACAATTCCAAGTCAGTTAAGTCTTCAATTTTGTAATCTTACCAATGGCAGCTAACCTAGTAACACCAATTTTTAATTGCTGGTTGCACATGCGTGAATTGCATTGCTTTGATTAAGTAACTAAACATGGACTTAGGTAAGTATGTACTGGTGAGGCCTTGTTAACAGGCAAGGCTTTAATTGGAGCTTTTATAATTGCTATTTACAAAGTCTGTCATTCATCGCTGTCAGAGTAGTTAAAATTTGCATAGATATCCTCATCAGTACAGGTATCTTCCTGAAGTTGTTTTGTTTCTCGGTATGTAATACTGCCTATTTTCTGAGGGAGGGAGAAGGCACAACCTTTTTCAGTCCCTAACCAGGCTGATTTTCAAAGATTTTTCTGTAGAGAATGGTGGATTAAGAGTTGCAGAGTTTGCTCCTGCCTGAGAGAAAATTTAATTTGCTTGTCCTTTCATTTCTTAACTGGAGTTGATGTGTGTTTCATTCTTTGCATATGAGACCTCCCTTTGGCAGCAGCACAAACCTTCATTGACAGATTTGTGCTGTTTTGGGAAGTATCCTTGCACTGAAAAAAGAGATTGTCACCTCTTTGAGCATCAACTGGGTTATGCATTTAGGGAATATCAGTTTTAGAGAGTCTTGGGTGTTTTTTTTCTTGCTTTGTTTTGTTGGGTTTTTCCCGCTAGTTACCGCTCCTCTTATTACTCCTCCCACTAACTCTGAGGTAGACTTTTTGTATCTACTGTTCCTATTCCTGTGGAGCATATTGTCATAGCCAAATACAACACCTTTAAAGAAAAACAGGACACCCAACCTCTGGTAAAATAAACACTTTGATTTGTATATTCAAAGCGTTATACAAATCCAAGATAACAGTCTGTTGTGGTTTTTTTTTTGTCTTTTTTAAAATTGTTTTACCTTGTGAAAGTCCTGTCTCTTGGGTCTCCCCAGCAGGTTAGCAGCAACAGGGGTTTCTGACTCTAGCTTCATACTCATTCCTCCAAAATATGTAAAATTTTAAATACTTTTTTTTTTTTTTTTTTTTTAGTATTTCCACTGGGATTGAGGGGAGGAAAAGGGTTTTGTACATGTTTTAGTTTTTGTTATTTTTGTAGGTGCTGGAGAGAACCTGGAAAACACGATGGCAGCCTTTCACCAGTGAGTACAAATGGAACCAGTAATGCCTAAATTAATGGTGTTCTTGTTGTCTTTAGTGAGTGAAGCAATCAAAAAAGATTGGACTTCCATCAGTTGTCTGGGGTGCAGCATCCTGTTTCTGAAAGTCATCTCTCATTTGGATGACCTGTGGATTGCTAAACATCGCTCCAATTAAAACAAGAAGGAATTGGGATACCACAAACTATGACTTGTTCACAATAACGTGGTAGACTGGCAATTGGAAATAAAACTGCTGAGGCCCGATTCCTCCTGTGTTAGCTAATGAAACATGAAGCAATGCTGCTTCCATGTTTTATGGTGATTACTTCCATTAATTTATGTATCATTTTAAAGCTGTTTTTTGTAATTAATATCACGCACTGTTTCTTCTAGATACCGTTTGAGAAACATCGGTGTGTTTCAGATCATAGCCCTTGCCACTCTGCTAATCAGCATACAAGGCTGGCTTTCAGGAAGTTAAATCTGTGGCTGCTGTTATGGCTGTAAGCAGTTCGCTTAGACATTCCATGGTTTCATGGTATTCGGTGCCCTCCTCTACACAGAAGGTCAATAGTTTGTCCTCTGGAGTTATTGTGACTGAAATCCTAATGTTCACTAACTTGTAATTTACCATCTGTACAGCTATTAAAAATGTGGGTTTTTTCCCTTCGTACACATACCTCATTGGCACAATGTGCGAAAGCCTCTTATCGAGGGGTTTAAAATGGAGTTGGTACTGGAAAGCCTTTCGAGCCTCCAGCATTTCAGTAGTGAATTCTAACACTGTTCTCAAAGGCGTTTGAAAAAGCAGCATATCAAAATCTCTGGCTGCCAATGAGAAGTTACTAAATTATGTAGGGTTCTCTTTGGATTTTGGGGGTTTTTTGATTTGCTTTGTGCTAAGTAGCCTCATCAGTTTGCACATTTCCTGACAGACTGAGGAGTGCCAGCTTTCCCAACCAAACAGCGCTATTGAAAGTACTGCAGTATTTTCTATCTCCATGGAAGCTTAGCATAGTTTTGTGGGGTTTTTTCCCTGCTGGCCTGCCTTTTTTTAAGTCTGCCACCACGCTTTCTGGAAAGTGCTGCTTTTTTCTAACTGTTCTTAATTCTCGTTTAGTATCCTACAGGTTTTATATGTATAGGGCTACACGATAACCTATTTTTATTTCCTTCCAAGAAGTAAGGCGTAGTACTTAGAGCAAAGACTGTGCTAGGAGTCAAATAATGTTTTGTGGTAATACATTTGTCTGACTCTCTTCTGGCCGTTTTAATTATTTTACAAGTATAGTGTAATACATGCATTGAGGTCTACTTTTTGAACTCATCACAACTGACAGTAGCAAAGTTCAGTTACTTGGTTTCAGTTTGTCTTGGTTGAATAATAAAAGCATATTACTTTGCAGAAAGCAGAGTCAGAGCAATTACTTTGCATTAGGCAGTAGAAAGTCTTCTGGCTTCCTCTGTGAAGGGGTAAAGGCTTTGTCCTTCCCATCTACTCATTCCCATCTCCACTGGTAGGCTAGCAAAAGAAATTGGGTAGAAAATTGGTTATCTGCATGAGGAAAAATGATCCAGATTGGCTCAGACGGCTGGTGTGAACTGATCGTTTCATAATCCATTGGATTTTGCACGAGGCTAAATAGGGTGTGCCTGCAAGAGCTGTTCCTGCTGGTTTGGGCAGGCAGGCATGTTTGACTATTGATGTAGTTGAATCCAAAAGAGAATGCTTGTCTGCAGCGTAAGACCTGCCCCCGTGTTTTTGCCTTGTTGACAGCAATGTAAGTATTGGCAAGCAAATAGTTTTGTTTATGCTGTTTACGCTTTAACAGTGATTGCAGAATATTCAATACTGTTGCATGATAATTATTCTAATAATATATAACAAAGTGTATGAGGGGAGGAGGCTTTATTGGTAGTTCCAAGTTCTATACTAGCTTAACTTACAAAGATTCTGGAAAGCAATTATAAGGTTTTTATACCAAAGACAATATTTTTTTTTTTTGGTTTTGCATGGTAAAATGCCTAATAGATTTTTTGGGCTGTAATCATGTTATACTGTATTTAAATGCTTCTGTGATGGTTTTAGATTTTAAAATAACTGATTTTTAGCTGAAAGAGACACTTGTATTGTCTTAAAGTATCTGGCATAAAAGATGTCGTAAGAATTTAATTACCAGTTTAATTGTCCCTAATACAGCCATGTACTTTAGTATTGTTTTGCTAAGTAAACTCTCCAGATATTTTCTCATTGTATTTCCTTTTATTTTATGAGCATATTTGGTTTAGAGAGAAAACTTTAAACACTGTAATTACAGCAATAAAAGTACATGGTCAATTTAGTATTTATAAACACTATACATTGTGCTACCTTAGGCCTTGCCTAATGGAATTTCATTTCCAAGGTAAAGCTTTTCTTATATATTTTCTGGTATGTCCTTTTACTTGAAAACAGTTGGAGTTAAACACAAGCAAAGAGCTCTACCATCCTGATTTGCAGATGTGAGCCTGCTTTACTACTTGAGTCCAGGAGAAGTTGGATCTGAATCCAATACGGTCTTCTGAATCTGGAAAGCATCTGGAGTCTTCTCTGGAGCAGTGTAGTTTTGACGTGTTATTACAGAGCTGCAGAACAAACTGATTTCCAGCTGAAAAAACTCGGCACTTTAGGGAAGCTTATTTGGCAGCAACCTGCTAGTAAGAGCCTGGCAAATTCTCAAATCTGTTAACAAGGAAGGTGGTTGTTCTCCTTTTTCCATGCAGCATCAGTTCTGAATTTCTTAAGCAGTAATATTTCTAATAAATTTTGCTGGTTAAATGATAATACGTGGTACTAGATGGGAATGTCTTTTACGAATTTGGCAAATCTCCTGCAATGTATTTGGAGATGCTTTTCCTCAGGAGGAAAAATTACACAGGACAGGCTATGTATCTTCCATGCATAACAGGATTTTGTTCCTCTCCTAATTCTTAATTAGCGGCACTGGAAAACAGTTAACAAATTGGTTTTAATTTGACAACCCTCTTCTTGATCATTATCCCAGCTGGACCAGAAACTGTGTGAAACACTTACGGGAGTATGTTCTAATTTTTGTTTTGTTGTGTTGTTACATTTGTGAATGTTTATGGCGTGTTTGTACTTCAGCAGTCAGTAAAGCCCTTTTCTTAAGGAGGAGGCTGGTACTGAAGCTGCAGAGCTTTGGGTCACGAATAGACTGTGCTCAGCGACCTTCTGGGTGTGTTCATAGGTGGATAAAAACAGCCCAGTGTTGTGAAGGAAGTGCTCAGACTTCAGGCCAGAACTTTTAGTTAGCCTGCTGGAATGATACCTTCTGAGCATCTTTTCTAATGAAATCAGCAACTCACTTCTCGTTGGAGTAAAGCTTAGTTTTTCTGTTCTGGTGTGAGGTTTCTTGTACTACTTATTTTTCATCAATACTATTACTGTCTCCTTTTTTTTCTACTCCTCCTATGAGTTAAGCTTCTATAGAGTGGATTTGGGGTTGGATTAGAACTTTCTGAAGCAGTGGATTGGAAAAGGAGTAGCTATTTTTCTTTGAAAAATATGACTAGATGTTTTATTGTTGGGGTTTTTTTAAATTTAAAATTAAAACTTTTTCATTAACTTTTTTTTTTTTTTTTTTTTAAATGGGGTTTTGGTAGCCAAAACCACCAAAAGCCTCAAAGCCCCATCGCTAATTTCCTGGTCCATCCATTCCTGATTAACTTCAGTAAAAAAAAAAAAAGGGGGGGGGACACTTTCACATACTTGTGTATGTTGTTTATGCTTACCACAAAATTTGTTACTTCCTTAAAAGACCTCACTTCTTCCAGGGGTAAATGTGCAGATACAAAGAAACGACACACTCAAAATTCTGAAACAATACTTTAGAAGTAAGTTTCTCAATACCAAGGTGGTAGGCTGCAATCCACACGTGCGCTGCTTAATTTCTACGGAAGAGGCAGCCAAAGCTCCAAGTTCAAGTTCCGTCTCTGATTCATAATACGCTGTTTATTCTTGCATCAGTTTTTCCCACTGCACAGAGTTGTTTGCTTCTTGCTTTGCAGGAAGGTTGTGAGGATTCGTTGCATCATAAAACATCTGAAGTGCCTCCAGTGGGATTAGTTGAGTTGAATAACATGTATGTGTTAGGTTTGGACCTGTACAGAATACATGTGTGGTTCAAGGCAGACTTCTTTGCTTCCAGTGCGGTTAATATAGGAACAGACATGTTGGAGCTAGATTGTCACCTGACAAAAGATGAGCAGGTGGTTGTGTCCCATGATGAGAACCTGAAGAGATCAACAGGAGTTGATGTCAACATATCCGACCTCAAATACTCTGTAAGTTGAAGAAAAAATGTTAGTGCTAGATAATGTTTTAAAATAGATTTGTAGAGCGGCTGGAGTGGGCAGGAAGGTTGTCTGCATGTGTGTGTGTGTCTGGTATCCAAAATCTGAGGAGAGGATTCATCTTGTCTGTCTAAAAAAGTTAACTAGGCTCCCTGTGTAGGCAAGGGAGAAAAACTGGCACATTTCCAGAGGGTGATTAACTGCCTCCAAAAGTAGGCTGGATGAACAGCTTTCTGGAGGTAGGCCTGTTCTGCCATGCTGACGACAAAGGAAACTTAGTCAACAAGCTCCTCATATGGCAGGTTTTTAATGGGAAAACTGGTAGATGAATCCCCCCTGCATTGACAGCTTTAAAAGCCTGTTTTACAGAACTGTCTTTCCATCTGATATTTAAGTGGAATTCTCAGAATTTTCAGACAGGCATCTGGAAATGTTTTACCTTACTCAGCTACAGGTAACACAAGTCTTAAGCATGCCAAATAGCTCAAGTGAGAATGAACGCAGTGCTTCTAAATCACTTTTTGGGCAAGAAGATTTAAAAACAATATGATTTTTGTCTTCAAAGATAACTCACATGGCTTATGAATTATTTTTTTTTTTCTTTATCAAGAAAAGTTGTGATTGTATCCCTGCATTTGAATTAGTGTTCCATTTCCCTTTATTTTTAAGGAACTCCCACCGTATCTCTGCAAGCTGGATGTCACATTTCAGAAAGGTAAGTTTTTGTCTCTTGCTCTTTCACTTTACAGTAACAGTAACTAATTTTCCATTATTGTAGTGTGGCGATTTCTTACTTTGACGAAGAGAGTAGACAAGTGGATTTACCTCTGTCAGTATCTTGATAAGAGATGTTTTAAAAGGAAAATATAATCCTAGCTTTAGAAACCAAAACTGTTTTTTTTTCGTACCGGTTGGCAGTGACTAAGTTTAAGATGTAAGATATCTTTTTTTCTAAGTAAACATTTTGATTGTTTGCTTGTCTGCTTCCTGCAACTGCTTTCCAGTTCCTTGTGAGCTCTTCAGAGCGTGCTGCTTGAAAGTATGTCGTTTTGAAAAACGAAGAGGAGGCAGCAGAGAGTTTCTTTACAACTCAAATGCCGTTGTGCTGGTGCACTGTGAGCTTGAAGTACTACAAGGTGTCAGATAATACATTTTCAGAAGGGTGAATGAAGAGAGTTGTAGTTACTGCATGTATGACTTAAACGTTCAGTACCAATATTGCTGCAGGAGAGGAGAACTTGGAAAAATATTAACCTGTTTTCTTGTGAAAACTGTGATTTGTGGGACTATAATTTGCATAAAGTATACAGGCTAAAACTGAGAGCCCTTCCACCTAGAAAAGGCTACTGGCGATTATATTGGATGTGTTTGCTCGAGGGGCTTTGTGACTATCTTGTGTAGCCTTTCCATATTTGAATTGTCAAGCAAGCAAATGTTGTGTTAAAGTTTTCTGTTCAAAATTGCAAAATACTTAAAATGCACCAAGATGAGATCCATGACGTGCTATTTTCACACGTATCTTCTGTTTATGTACAAGATGGTGAAAGCCTTCAGTTAATTCCCTAGAGCCACAAGCAGTTTCAGACAATAAAATCTGGGGGTTTTGCCTTCCGTTCCCTTTACTCATTATGCTTCTCCAGTGATTTTTCATAGAAGGAAAAGTTCTTCTCATTTGGTCTCGTTTTATATTAATCTCGTTGCATTTGGTGTGTGGTAACTGAACCAGCATTTGCTATTTTGGGATTTTAATGATACCTGCACTCCTACTGTTGCTAAATGTCTGAATTTATGAAGTTCAAAGCTAAACGTGCGATATGCTTAGGGTGTTTTCATTATGGTAGTGAGCTTGGCATAGTCAATTACAACTATCTGAGTGAAGTAAACTTTATTTTTCAGTTAAAAAATTTGCTAATTCTGGGAACTATATATTATTTTTAATTTTAAGGTAACAAGTGCTCTGACATTTTGGCTTTTATCTGCAGCATATTAGAAATGGTCACAGCAGTGTCAATGTTCTTTTTTCCCCAGAATGTCACTGTGAGGGAAAAGACAACCGTATTCCGCTCCTGAAAGAGGTGTTTGAGGCATTTCCACAAACTCCTGTCAACATTGACATCAAAATGAACAACAATGTGTTGATCAAAAAGGTATGTGAAAGCCTATGTTGAACTGAGACTGAATGTCGTGTAATGATCTGAAGTGCCAAAAGAAAAGTTTCTTGGAGTTGCTAGCAGTCTGTGACACTAAAATCTGTGGGTTTGGCCTGCTTCATCCTTCACGTATTAGGTCTTGCTCCATGTATGAGGTAATACAGAAGACAGAGAAGTGATTTTGTGCGAACAGCACTTTACTGACCCTTTATCTTTAGCAGTATAGCATCAGCTCCATGTCGAGACATGTTTGTTTTGTACTGCATATGAAGGGCCGTCTTACGGACTGTCGCCTACAAAAGCAGTGATGTCAGCGTAGAGAAGTGCTCATTGCAGAAAAGGAAATCTGCTTTCCGTCAGATACTATTTTGCCATCTAGTTTTCTTAAATTCTCTAGGGGTTTTTGTAGGCGTAATGGTCTCTGCTTTTATCTGTTGACCCGAACACCTGCTTCTTCCCAGTCAAAGCAGCACAGTCGTCCTAAGAAGAACTATCTTTTGTGTGATGATGTAGTTGAAACATAGCAAGTAGTGTCCCAGTTGAATAATTCTGCACACAACTTTCAGTGATTATGTGTTAGGGTTCTGCTTTTTGTATTGCAGGTTTCCGAGCTGGTGAGTCAGTATAAGCGAGAGCATTTGACGGTATGGGGGAACGCCAATTATGAGGTGGTATCAAAGTGTCTTAAGGAGGTAAGAATGGGTCCAGCTAAGCTTCGTTCTTCTTGCCTGCTTGTTACTGTGTGGGGACGAGATGTGATGAGAACTGTTGTGCTTAGATTGTATTCTGCTTACTACACTGTTACAGTAAGTCAGGCACAGTTAACATCTGGATATTCTGCAATAAAATACTCGAGGAATTAAGCTTAATCATATTTTATTCTTGTTATGTAAAATACAGGGTGTTACGATTTTATGCCAGGAACTCTTAGAGCCTGTTTTGCACATCATTAATCTGGCACAAAAGAAATTTTTCTTAGGATTGCTTATTGAGTGTTTCTTTTAATGAAAATAGTGGATGTAGCCACTAGTTGACACAATTATATTGGTATAAAGCTGTTGTACAGCTATAGATTCTGTTCCTTTTTGTGCAGAGGAGTTGTACAATTTAGAATTGAAGTAAAATTGTGCATAGTCCGAGGGAGTTATGCACCTGAGTGAAACTGATCGAGTTGAGAGTACAGATACTGTTCTGATTTATATGTGCAGGACAGCACGCCATTTCCTACCTGAACAGCCGTTATATTTGTTCATTTTCATAGCATCAATGCCCAAATAGTTCGGTTCATAAACCAGCATCTTTAAAAATGTGTTGTGAAGCAGGTTGACATGATACCAAACTGTAACAAGTCCTGTGCTAAAGCACATTTTGTTCTTTGTGGTAACGCTAGTCTAGGAAAAAGTGCTGCGTAGTGTCCTGCAGTCTGGAAAGAGGATGTGGGCAGGTAACAAAAGCAGTACTGTGACCAGTGAAATGTTACTTTTTCAGGTCCCTGTTGCCCCTTCAAATTGCATAGAACTTTTGTTTGGATTCCAGGTTACCAGAAAGAGTAATTCAAATTCAGTGGCAGGCATATCACGAACATTTGGCAGCCTAATCTTTAAGTGCAAGTGCTAAACTTTAAACATACATTGATGAGTACGTTTAATTGCAACAGACTCAACAATCTCCCAAGATAATTGAGCATCTTTCTTTCCTGGTTCCTGCAGAATGCTGACATTCCCATCATCTTCTGTTTGCAACGTGTCCTCCTGCTTCTTGGCCTGTTCTACACTGGTCTGCTGCCATTCATTCCTTTCAAGGAAGAATTCTTAGAAATTCCCATGCCTTCCATCATCCTCAAGTGAGTGAGAGTCTGTCGGTGGGTGCTGCACTGAAATAACAGTAAAGCAAGTGAATGATAATGCCAGTTTGAGCATTGGTTCAGTCGGTGTCCTGGGGCTGAGGATATGGTTTTGTTAGTTTAGGCACTTTTTTTTATATTCCTAAGAGAAAGCTATGCAAGCCTTCTGCTCCTCTGTATTTAACCTGCCTGTAGCCAGCTCTGAGTTACTCAGTAGGGGGGGCCTGTGTATATCAATGTTTCCTGTTTACAGCATCTCCTGTAAATACTGCCTTCATGCAGCTGCCTTTACAGTGCAGCTTGTGCTGATGCCATGTAGATAGTAATATGTAGCAGTGCTGTGCAAATAACTAATTCTTGCACTTCTCTCCCTTTTTCTTGAGAAAAAATTAGTCTGATTAAGGCCAAGAGGCAAGTCAGTAATAGGGTGGATATGAGATTTCATGTGCTCTTTGTTTCTCATACTTTATTCAAAGTGCTGCTGAATACCTCTCTCTGCTGCTTCTCTTAAATGCAGCACGTGTCGCTTGTGTAACCCCATTCTAAGTCACTGTCTTAGGCAGTGAAATTACTGCTCTAATTTGAGAAACTGCAAGGTTAGTTCTTCACGTTCCTTTTGCAGGAACATCTCAAATAATATTTTAATCTGTGCTCTGGTAATTTTTTGTTTCCTCCTCCTCAACAGGCTGAAAGAACCACAGAAGATGACAAGAAGCCAGAAATTTGTCATCTGGCTAGCTGACACGTAAGATTTTAATCCGATTAAATTTTTATTTCTCTTTTGCCTATATATTAACAGTTTGGCTCAAGCAACTGAGACTAGCTATTGCTACAGCTACTTCTTGTTGTCTGGTTTTTTTTTTTTTCAGTTTCTCCTAGCTTTTTTTGTCAGTGCAGCATAAATCACTTTGAAATCTTACATAGGTGTTCCTGTATGTTTTTATTTTTCATACACTGAAACATACTGAGGTGTTGTAATAGTGAGCATGGTTCCAATTGAGTGTATTTCATTTCTGTCATTCAATGTGTTCAGCTAATTAGCATGCAAGTAGATTCAGAATGCGGCTTTCACGTTTCATGGGACACTTTCATTATGTTGTCAGAGGAGAACCTGTTTGGCTTATGGGGAACACTTCAGGTTTTAAGGATATCTGTGCTTCAGAGGAAGCTTAGTCTTGTGCTTTCAGAGGTTGAATGTGGTTGCAATAAGTGTCTTCCGGCTCTTGCTTCTGTGTCTGACGCCTGATAGTTTGATTTCTTGAGTGGTCAGTAGAGTTTTAGGTCTTCTGGTGTGAAAGATAAAATCTCTTCTGAAAGCGAAGAGATTGATTTGTTGAACATGGTACAGGGTACCTGTACAATGAAGGAGGATTCTGCTGGATTTGATCTTTGGAAGAGTTGATACAAATTCCATAGCTAATGCAAATTTCTGAGTATCTATGTTAACCAGTCTTGAGTTGCTTGAACTAAAAGTTTTCTATAATTAGGTTTCTAATCACTTTCTTGTGGAAAACCGTGAATCTCTGGAAAATTTATTACAGAACATCAACAGACATTGAAAATTTCATATGTACTTCCAAGTTCTTAAATAGTCTCTTTCTTCTTTCCACAGATTGCTGATGCGGAAAGCACTTTTTGACCACCTCACTGCTCGGGGCATTCAGGTACAGCGTGACAAAGCTAAAGGAAATGTGCTTTTAACCTGGTGAGAATTTGAACCAGCCAGATATGGCCTTAAGATGGGTTCATGTTCTCCCCAACATGTCCTGTTGTGTTGCTGGGATTACAAGTTGCTGAGCAGTAGCTTATGCTGTTACATTTGCGGTTCTGTAGTTGCAAAGGAAAAATTATACCCTTGGAAAAAAAAGACTCTTTAATTTAAATCCCTTTAAGATTTAGGGGTTTTCCCCATTTCAGACTTAAGCCTACAAAATCAGCTAAATGACTTACCTGTTTTGGGCTTCTCACAAAATAATATTTTGACTTTTGGAAATATCTGAAGTCTAAGGTAATGAAATGGAGTTGGAGGCACCACTAGAAAATGCCCCATTTGGAGGGCGATGGGGAAAGAAGTTGGATATGTTTGTGTGCATGTCTTTGGCATCACAGCATAATTATTTATTATTTTAAATATATGTGGCATCATCTCTGTCACGTGAAACAATTTAGGTCAAAAGTCACCTTTTTTAAAATTTAAGTATTTCCTGTAATAATTTATCTTTCTGTCTCATCTTACAGGTGTATATTTGGGTACTGAATGAAGAGCAAGAGTACAAGAGGGCATTTGATCTGGGAGCAACTGGAGTGATGACAGACTATCCAACAAAACTTAAGGAGTTTTTACACAATTATCCAGCATAAAGGAAGAAAACCAAGGAAGTTCTTGCAGAATAGATTGTGAGCCAAGGATTTTCTTCATTTAAAAACAAAAATTGAGCAGCATACGCAGATCATTTTGTTTGAAAGGTGTAATTGAATGATCTATTACCTTCTTGTTGAGTTGCTACCTAATGTAAAGGTTGTCTATTTATTTTAAAACTTTAATTACATAGTTTACATTTGTAAATAGCTGATTTAGAAACGATGCACCTCACAAATAGCAATGACTAGGAAGAAGGTTGCTGGATACGGTAGCTGTAGATAATAAGTGTTATTTTACCTGTCACAAGTGTTCCTAAGCAGATGTCAGGACATGTCAGTTATTCCAGTTATATTCTAGTGGGCAGAAACTAAAGAGTTTCTGGAAGTGTACCCTGTGCGTATGCATTTCTTGTGTTGCTTTTAGTTTTCAGGTAACTTGTAGGGCAAAAAAGAAAACAACTCACAGGAGAAATAGAAAGCAAAATCCGTGGCTAGCCGGGTAGTTTAGCCAGTGCAGTCTATCAGTAAAGGCGGTCACTTTTTAACCAAAAGTAACTCACTTGGTCAGTATAGATTTACTCTATTATTCTTACTCATAAGAGTGTTGAGCTTGAATTGCAGCTGTATTTAGACTCATTTCTGATGTGATGGTAATACTGTGACTTATTCGTCAAGGTCTAGATAGAGTATTTAAGCCAGCTTCTGGGTTTGACACTGAGATCCACTGCAAGCGTCTAGGTTTGCCTCTGGTTCTGACCTGCCTGTCAGGCTACCGTGGCGTGGCAGTAGCTAGCTTTCCGGAAAGGAATATTGCACTTATTATAGATTACAGTTACTTTGAAATAGTCTTTTCACAAAGGAAGCCCATGTTTCAGAAGTCTTTTGCACATTTATAGTTCTAACATGTGTGAGCTTGGTGAATGGGAAGTTGTTCTTAGGGGGAGGGACCAAAGAAGACTAAGTTTGGTCAGGAGTTTCAGGGCAAATTAAAATGTTCCTAGTAAATTAGTTCACCCAGTGCAGATTTATGTGCATACTTATAAAAGCAGCGAGTGTCAATCTAGGATGTGTGTAAATTTTAGTCTTTTTCTCTCCACAAAAGTACATTCAATATTCATTAAGTTTATGTGCATGGACATGGAAGTAACTTTACTTGCGAAAGCCAGGAAACTCCAAGTATGGTGGAATGGGGTTAGATAGGAAGGTGTTTCTGGAAGCTTACATGCTGTTCTGTCATTGTGAAGAGGTGTTACACGTGTCAAACAGATTTGAGCCTGCAACGCCTGTGTGTCAGTGTATTTGGTGCTGTTGTGTCAGTGGTAGGGTTTTCAGAAGGAATTTGATTACTGTGGCGTAATTACACACAATGACATGTATAAAGCTCAGTTACCTAATCATCAGATACTGCTGGAACAAAATTATTGTTAATGATAGTATCTACTCCTTTAAGGAACTTCATGTGAACATCATGGATCTTAATAATAAATACAGTAGCCAGATGCAAGAGTATATTTACTGTAAGGTATACTCACTGCTATAAAAACTTTTAGTCATTTTTTTCCCTTGCTAGCTCAGATTTGGAAGGGGGCTTGTGTCACCCCACTGGCTGCTCTGCCGTACTTGTAATCATGGGGCATCTTTTCTATTTTGTTATGTCTGTCAGTAGGCTGCCAGTGTTAGAATGTCGGGTCCATCGGGATGGATAATACTCATTTGTGCATTATAATTTCTTTCTGAGGAATACTTCTATGTGGATGAAGTGGCAGAAACTGCTGCATTTACAATTTAAGTGAACAAGTGATGATGGTGGCAAAGAAAACTCCTCCTAAATATCTGCCTGGTTAAGATGGCTGTAGATTCAGTTTCCTCTTAATTTTATCAGGCTTCTTGTGCATTGAGTGGAGGAGAAGAAAATGTAACTTCCTAACTGTTCATAGGAAAAAGGATGAAATTACTTCTTATGTGCTAATCTTGTTTCCCTTTCAGACCAGTTATGTCTGGTCAGATAACTGCCAATAATTAGTCTAGTCATAGCTCTGCCTGCTTTCTAGTAGTCACAGAATAGCTGTAGAATAGGCTCCATATTCAGCTCATAGGTAAATGAAAAACTTCCACCCTTTCTGTCTTAATTTGCTTTACTAGGCAGTGTGTAGCTCCAGATAGGTTTTTGTGCAGTGTGGTTTTCTTCAGCTTAATTGCTATATAATTTCCAACACACGCACCTTTACTAAAATGCAAATACAGTTCTGGCTTTAGAGAATACTACCAGATAGCACTTACATGTTAAACCTTTTTTTTTTAGATTGGGAAAAGCTACATTTTAAAATACCAGTCTTGATTTCTGGACTTGATCTCTCAAGGGACAGGACTTTGTTTCTCTCTCAAGTTTCCCTCATCACTGCATAAATAAACTATTTTGCTTTATTCCATTTTGAATGACAAAACACAGTTATTGAAATGGCAGACTTAATTTTTTCATTTAATTTTTTTTCCCCTCTTTCTCTCTAGCAGTGGTGTTGGAAATTCCTGCCTTCAAAGATGCTCGACACATTCTTAGACCTTAGTCTTCCTACATCTGATGTAGCTTTTGACTGTGCTGTTTATACATGACCTGTCTTTGATAAGTCTGCTACTTAATATCCGAAACTTGAATGAGTCAAGTTACATGGGAGGGAAGGGGTTCAGTGCTGGAAAAGCTGCTGAATTTGTTCAGTCACTCCTTTGGGCTTTAGTACCAGAGCTAAAGTGTGATCCCTTGAGACAGAGAACGTTGCATGGATGACGCCATGAATCCAAGCACCAATGCACAGGGCTTAGGCCATGATAACTGTTTGTAACAAAATAACATAGAATTGAGGTAACTGTAGAATGTTTGTTCTATTAAATCCTTGTTTCGAATATTCCAGAACTTGCTGTGTGATCTTTAAACCACTTGTACAGAAAAGCGTTTGTTGAGAACTTGCACAGCTGTCCAGGAGGATGTTCAGTTAATCTCTCTCTCTCCAAGGAGAGATTCTTTTCAGGTACTTTTAACTCTGAATATTGTTTAACACTTTGTGTTCGCAAACCTATTGCAAAATATCTTATGTATGAAGGATGATGCATGTATTTCATGCACTTTTAATTTGCAGAAAGTCTTGTGGACGTCTCTAGCTCTGAATCTATGAAGTGATTTTTCTTTTCTTGTAAAAAAGATTGATGCTCTTCAAATGTGACACATTAAAACATCTTTGCTCATAAAAGATCTAAAACTAAATAGTAATTGTGACTTCTTTGGCTGAAAGTGTAATTTCTGAGATTGTGATATTATAGTGTAGTGTTGAGCTTTTGATGGTGGTCTTTTTATGTGGATAGGGTTGCTGAAAAGAAGGGGGTATCTTGTATACTCTGAACTTTTAAGACATTTTTGGCAATGACATTGATTTTCTCATGTAGTAATCGTAGTGTCTGCAGCTATGTGCAGCTAAATGAAGCCTGCAGAGGACTTAAACCTGCCCTTCTCCAAGTGCAAATGAACTTTTAAGTAAGACTTTTGAAGTGGATTCCAATTTGATTTTTCTAGAACATATTTTGAGGCAGAAACAGTAGTAGATAAACTTGATCAGAAGTGGACTCCACATGCGACGCTAGAAATCAGTGTAGAGAGTAGTACCGGTT